ATAATTTATAATAGCAAGTTTAATTCTGTAACGGTAAACAACCAACATACAATAAAACATAACTTTAATAATTTGTAATGTCTATTATTTAATACAGATTTATTATTAATGTCTGAATAGATTACTTTCTGTCTTTTTAATTTATTGCCAAAATGCTTGCTACATTAAATTGAAAGTATTTTATCCATGAATTATTGTAAAATATAAAAAAAAATCTGAGAATATGTTAAGTAAGTATCTGCAGAAAAATTTAGAAAATCTTCACGATTCTCTGGAGCATCTTCTATGTTTAATATTTGCAGTAATAATGGCTTATTATAGAAATGTAAATTAAGTAGATAAAACTCCATTGCTCCAATCACATTGTGTATCTTTTTGTATGCTAGTATATCACAGCAGAGGATGAAGGGGAAAGGCAGCCTTCAGAATCCACTATTATACAAATGGAATATTAATATTTAATTGGAGAATTTTGTTAAACTACTTTAGAAAGTTTGCTTTGTATTGATGTTTTTTGCATCCTTTTATCACTTTTACTTGATATTGTGTCAACCCCAGAGTTTCTCTTTAGTCTTAGAAATTTCTCTGACAGAAAATATTAGGGCAAAGCTTGAACATAGTTAAAGGCCTGAAATTCAAACAATTTGTGTGCAATTCTTTGATTTTCGGATAAAAATGATCATATTGTAGTGAATCTTTTATTCTATAAGAGTAATTGCAACATTAATGACAAAATTCTTTAAAAAACAGCAAAACAAAAAACCCCTAGTATTTATTAGTAATTTCACAACTTGAGGAGAATAAATGTACAGTTTAAAAATGCTGGACCCAGTCCTTTACAAGTTACACAACTGAACTGCAAACTTCTGACTCAACAACATAACCTTGATACCAGAAGTTAGAGAAAAGACCCAGAAAGAACAAACTTGACATTGAAGATTATCATAAGATCTGCTTAATAACAGAACACTTGCAAACTATACGATTAATTTTCAACTTTCTATACATATAAGCTCTAACTGAGTTTCAAGCAATATTAAATTAAAACTCCAGGTTTGAGTGTCTGGCTTACACAGTCTTCAATTTTCTTTTATCTACTAACAGATTACAACATCACAACTCTGTGCAAGATGATTACTAGCTATTGACAAAACATTTCACCATGTTATTTACATACAGTAGCAAACCGGTTTACTTATGACCATAGTTACTGTGACAAAGACCTCAGTGCTACCCACTGTCAATCATTTTGCCTCATTATGAATATAATGTTACAATTAATTCTAAGGGAATGTGAATTGGCACTGTGTATATGCAAACACAGACATCTAAACTAAACAAGAGAGGAAAGGGTATATAAAACAGAAGTATAATAATAAACAAAATGAAGAGAATACCTCGAAAAATGAGTACTATGTATGGATATACATAGAAAGGTGTTCATTTACAGATTGCAAATTTATAAATCATTGTACAATAATGATCATAAAGTTTCTATTTTTACTAAATATTACCATTTTCAAGGGCTTTTCACAAGTAAAAAGTATTCTTTTCAAAACCATTTTGAATTACATGAGGAATGGGCTACTCGCAAGCGTACCTCATGAAAATGTTTTATCATTAGTATTATACTTTATTTTGCCTAATCTAACCTTACCAGACCTAAACAGTTTCTACTTTTTATATTTTGTTACTTTTATAATAATAAATAAAGAACACACATGAAAAACAAGAAATATAGTACTTACCTGGGTCTTTTTTTCTGCTGTTGATTATCAATGAAACTTAACCCTACATTTTTTTACTAATGGTACTACTGCACTAAATAATTATTATTTAATTAAATAATGCACCTAAGAATACAAAATAACAAGTAAAAAATAAACAATATTCAATATCATGATTTTTCTGGCTTTCTAACTCGGTGATAAGAACCATTAATTTCATTAAACTTGTCTGTGTTGCCCATAGGGAATAAAGTTTGAAATGGAAGCAAAATGGACAATTCTCTGTACAGAAAAAAATTTAATATAATACATAATTCGATATATTTCTATTGAGTATAATAATATAGTATTAAACATCACAGAAAACTATTGGCAATTTCTGAAAGAGAGGATGTTAAAGGTAGGCGTGGCAATAGGGGTCTGATTGTCTATTTCATGACTCTGTAATCAAATGACATTGAAGGGTGTAAAAATTATGCATTGCCTGAGTGATGATGATATTGTAACGAGTAATTTACATTAAATTCCATACTTCTCAAAAGGGTGGTAAATAAATTACATAAGATGGGATACCTGGAGAGCAAATGTCACAATTCTCACACTAGGGGAAATATTTTTTAAATATTGCATTATAAAATTAAGAACTTAAAACTTATATAATATTTGAAATTTGGATTACTGGCTATATTTTGATGCCAAATTGATTCATATACCATGATAAAAATACTTTAAAATGTGCATGTAACTTGGTAAAATCTCACAACATGTGTAGAAAATTATGCCCATACAGAAAGAGTTAACACTTTTGAGAAGGGTCACAGGTGAAAGGCCATGTCATCTTCTTTGTTGACTCGCATTAAAAATTTTATTGAACTACTATTTCATGATTTTATGTCAATAAGTTTGGTATCAAACTGTGGATTATAATTCAAATTTTAGTACTATATATTACTCAATGTCTTAATTTAAAAGCAAATATTAAGAAAACACAGATGACCATCGATTTTTGTGTGTCACATGGTATGTTGAATGCAGCACTGGTTCAAATTAGATGTTTGTGAAGTCAAAATACTAAGTCTATAGTTTCAAATGAATTAGAAACTCAAATTACCGATATTGACAAGCTAGAATATAAAATAAGAGACTCTTATCTTTTGAATTTGCAAAGATATTGCTCATGTGATATCTCAAACACAGTGGCACTCCACCCACCTCTTTCCATTTTTGGAACTGCTCCCTTATATACATTTCCTTCTATATATGACATCATTAACCAATCGGAAGCTCAAAATGTCTCCCTAGTGAGTTTCTCGGCCATTTTAATGGCCTTGGTGCCATTTCTTTCTTTTGAACAAATATTTCAATGAGGTAGGGTGTCTTTAGTCTGCTCAAAATTTCATATTTTTATAGACTAAAATACATCTTGGTTACGGAGTTG